AATGTCTTCCTATCTACCATGTCTATGCCTCTCATACCTCAATCTGGTTGTCTCTCAACCGTCTCTTCTACAAGGAAAACAACCTCAGCATAACTGAGTCTCTCTACGTTTTTTGATCCTCCAATTTCTTTAAGGGATCTCACAACTCTGGATTTCACAGTTCAAGCATAGTCTTCCCTGAGACCCCACGGCAGTGGCTTTAAACCTCAGAAAATACCCTTAGTCAAGATCACTTCCAGAACTCCATTTACAACTGGATTAACTGCCTTTTATTGGGAGGATGACTGTCGATTTCTCCATTTAGTTTCCATACAGGCAAATCTTCTGGCTGCTTTTCCCTCACTGACTTTGTCTTTTTTTGAATACCAGCTCCCAGCAGGCTGCATCATGGATCTAGGGCTAGCATTTACTCTATTTCGGGTCTGCTTTTCTTTCTCAACTTGCAAAGTGTTTATAACCTAGTTGACACAGACTCTCAATTTCTCAACCCAACTTGCCTACTGGTTGAGCCCTAAGTAAATTCACAGACATAACTCGAAACAAAGAATCTCATTAGAAGCTGAAAAGTTCCACCCATTTCCATGGCGCCTGAACAGTAGGAGCCATATTTAATTGAGAGTGTTCATCATGTGGAGCAAAAGGTCTGCTTCCTTTTTGTGTGACTCTGTGATTCTTTAAGTGCTGTCACAGAGGATGTATAGACAAAACATTCGGGAGCAGCCATCATCAGTTTGGCATCAGATTGTGTTCAGGTGATCATTGTGTGGAGTTTCATTTTTTCCTTGCATCTGTGGGAGGACTGGGCCACAGCACAAAGGAGAGGGTCAAGATCAGGAGTGGAGTGCCTGAGCAGTCATGTGCTAATGCCTGCAGAGGGGAGGCACTCGGACTGGCTGGAGAACAGTCGCGGATGGTGATTAGAGTCGAGCAAAGAGAGCGAGGAGGCTTCAAGCTAATGCATCCGCCTTTGGACCAATGGTGATTCACTGCGGGTTTGGAAGGGAGAAAGAAACGGGAAGGTCCTTTTTCTCTAAGTGTTTGTGTTCTCTCATTCAAGTTTATACACAACAAAGTGTGTTCAGCCATATGGAACTGAGCTTTGCAATCCACCGCTCAGGATGAGAATGAGGATTTCTCAGAAGTTGGAACTTCACATCATTTCCACACATCCTGCCGCAGCACAGAGGACCTTTTGCCAGTGGGTTCGCGGTCACAACCAGATCACAAGCTGGTGAGAGTGTTACAGATAACGCTCAAACAGCTAACAGAGGCTATGACAGCTGAGGCCCCTGACAGTTGCAGGACTATGGGAAGTCAGGCTGCTTATGAACTTCTGCTGTTGGGTGGAGTTGCAAAGAGAAGTAGGAAAACAAAGGGTGGAGCTTCCAGAGGCTATCAGCAGACACATGCAGAAGGCGGAGGAGTCTACTCAAGAAATATGTGCTGCCATGACACAGGCAGATGAGCACACGGTGACCTCCAACTTGGTGACTGTGGTGACAGGTTGGACAGCCAGTTTAAGCAGACCACTGAGATACCTGTGTGCATCGAAAGGGAGGAAGACCAGCAGCCAACCATGCTGAGGGCCTCACCTCCAGGCTTTCAGAGTCTGACAGTGGCTTCTAAGTCCCTCTGCTGGTAACCCAAGCAGCTCCAATAGTCACAGGGATTGAGCGGAGTCCTGCACATGTTCAAGAGCCCCTCTGGCAGCTTAAGGACTCCTGCAAATGTTATTCCAGACTTCAGGGCAACCCCATGAACAGCCGCTCTCTCCACACCCCCTGCAAACACTGGAATTGCACTTATAAGTGTGCCAAGAGCACCAAAACAGAATGGAGGTGGGAAGCCGGGTGGAGTTGTATGGGCACAAGTGTTAAGAATCTGTATATGTTAACAATTGATATTAATGATTGTTCCATTAAATTGTGTTTACATTTCAAGATGTGGCTATGCAGTGAGTAGATTTTTGTTGTTTAGATCGTATACCCTTGCATCATTATCTGCCAGTCTGAATGGGGGGTAAAGCAAAAGCTGCTCATCTCCTTAGGTGTCGCCTTCTCCAAACACGGAGAAAATTGTACTGGACTTTTTTTTTATTCAGTCATGGAACATGGGCACTTCTGCTGTCCACATCGATTACCCATCCATATAAGTCCTTAAGAAAGTGGTGGTGAGCTGCCTTCTTGAACAGCTACAGTCTGTCTCCTTTAGGTAGACCTGCAATACTGTTGGTGAGTGTAAAGTGAAAGGGAATGTTCTGCTAATCTGGAGTGGTGTTTTTAACGGGCAGGCAATTCAAGAAGTTCTGTACCATCCAGAGCTTAGTTGACACGCTATCTATAGCCTAAGCATTCTCTCCCTCTCACACTGGCACACAGTGGCAGCAGCTGTGGGCCATCGGCAATCATCATCACCATAGAATCCCTACAGTGTGGAAACAGGCCCTTTGGCCCAACAAGTCCACACTGATCCTCAGAGCACCCCACCCAGACCCATCCCCCTATAACCCACCTAATCTACTCATCCGTGAACACATGGGCAATTTAGCATGGCCGATTTACCAAGTCTTCTTCCACAGCACCTGGATCATCTTGAAAGACAAGGGCGCCTGATGCATGGGAACATCACATACCCTGATTTGGAAGCAATTTACCAATCCTGGTATTCATAATGCCTTCAGGAAATTTCAACAGTTACAGAAGGATACAGATTGGAATGGAGTGAAGGGTTCATACTAAAAGTATCTTCTGCAGGCTAAAGAATTTATTAAGGACATACTGAAGATCTGTAGGATAATTTGACAGGTTAGGTATGCAGCATATCAAAGAAGAATAACCACTGAATAAATAGACCTTACATGTAAACAAAAGAACACTGAAGTTATTGTTGGAGTATATTTAGTCACTACATGACTATAACAATACACCTGGCTGACTTTAATTCCATCTCCTGTGCCCCCAATGCCCCCAGCCGCCTCCCCACCCCCACCCCCACCCCCACCCCACAAAGAAAGTTCTTTATTACCTGTCTTGTGCTTGCTCAGGTTTCTCCAACTTTTAAACAACAAAGCCCTGTTTCTTATTCAGTGCATTAGAAAATCTAGCTGTGAAATCTGTCAAAGACTGTACACTTTTGTGTTGTAGCGGAGCTGATAAAGAGATAAGGGCTATGTCCTCTAGACAAGTATTGTTTTACCTCCTTGATATCGGTATCATCTAGCACTAATTTATGTCTCTGTTGTATGTCCTCTTTGTTGTACTTGCATGCAGAGAGAATCAAACCTGCATTTACCAGTCATTGAAAGCAATATACGAGCATTTGTCAATTTCATGCCCTGATGGATTTTAATTATAAAATGTGAAACAGAGGAGAAATGTGATCTAAGCAAGTTCAGTGCAATAGGTGGCTGAAGTCACAAGAGAAGGGAATGATTTATAAAAGTGAATGCAGTGACTGGAAGGCCACACTGAAATCCAAAAAAGTTTCCAAGCGTCTTGGGAGCATAAGAGGTACAGAATGTAAAGTGTTAATTATCTGAGAATTGCACCCATTTCAAAATATCCATTAAACTCCAACGAAACTGTGTGCTAGCAGATGATGCATTAACTTCTAAAGAGGTGCATGAATATAAATGAAATCAAAAGCTGCTGACCTAGAAGTTTTGCCATTTATGCCAGAACTGCTACTGACTTTATCCACAAACCTTGTCAGCAATATCAGCTTTGATTGTGACTTTGGCTTCTTGGTTAGGAAGCTAAGACAGAAATTTCTAGGCCCGAAACATCAGCCTTCCTGCTCCTCTGTTGCTGCTTGTGTTCATCCAGCTCTACATCTTGTTATCTCAGATTCTCCAGCATCTGCAGTTCCTACTATCTCTAAGACAGAAATCTACCAGCTACCATCCATTAGTTTCAGGCAGTGAATCTTCTTTTAGCAGTTTCAGTGAAGCGATGGCCCAGTGCTATTATCACTGGACTGTCAATTTAGAGACCAAGCTATATCCTGGGGACCCGAGTTTAAATCCTACCGTGGCAAATGGTGGAATTTGAAATCAACAAAAAAAACTGAAATTAAGAGTCTAATGACCGTTAAACCGGGTCAATTGTTGTAAAGACCCATCTAATTCACTAATACTCCTTAAGGAAAGAAATTGCCAACCTTGACTAGTCTGGCCTCCATGTGGTTGGGATGGGCAATAAATGCCAGCAATACCCACATGCGAATGAATTTTAAAAATCCTTTTGTCATGGAATCCTTACTTTGGAATTTACACAGGTTACTTGTATATGCTCTTATAATGGAGTTAGACCAAGAACAGGTGGTAGAGCATTCACATACGAGACAATCATAGAATCCCTACAGTGTGGAAACAGGCCCTTTGGCCCAACAAGTTCACACCCCCTCAAAGCATCCCACCCAGACCCATCCCCCTAATCTACACATCCCTGAACACTATGGGCAATTTAGCATGGCCAATCCACCTAACCTGTACATCTTTAGACTGTGGGAGGAAACCAGAGCACCCGGAGGAAACCCACACAGACATGGGGAGAATGTGCAAACTCTACACAGACAGTCACCCAAGGATGGAATCGAACCCAGGTTCCTGGTGCTGTGAGGCAGCAGTGCTAACCACTGAGCCACCGTGCCACCCCTTCAAGGCTTCATGAAAGGGGTAAAGACCATCTAGGAACTAACCGTCTACTAAAGTTCACAGACCATTTTGTTTCTTTGGAATTGTATCAAAACAGCACATAATTTTTTGTGATTCATGTACCTGGACACCCAGATTCCTTTGTACGTCAGAGCTCTGCAATCTGTCTCCATTTAAATAATATGCTGATTTTCTATTTTTCCTGCCAAATCTTTTGGTAAGATGGTGGAGGAGTAGGGCTTCTGAGCCCAAGGGCTCGTCCACTTAGTCCACTTTTCTTTTTGTTTCTTTGCTGTTATTTCTCCTCCCTTCTCTTGTTTTTTTTTTCTCTCTTATTTAGTTTTACCTTTTGGTGAAGAGCTTGGGCATCAGCAATGGTGGGTAGGCCCAGCAGCACAAACTCATAGCAGCGACATCGGAGTCGGGTTTGAGTTCCTGGCAGCTTCTGCATTGTCAGGGCAGTCCTGGCATTGACTCATATCTGCTACGGCTGAGGCAAGTTTGTGATCCTGATGACGTTTGCATCCAGCGTAGATTCAAGGAGGCAGTGTCTGAGGTGGGTTTGGGCTCAGTATGAGACCAGGCAGCATCAGCAGTGGCTACATTGGCAAGGCTGGCCTGAAGCAGACTCATGGTGGTGGCGGAGTCGAGTTTGGGCCAGTGCAGAACTGGGCAGCATTGGTGGCTTCTGCACTGAGGAGGTCCATCAAGGACTCAGAGCGGTGAGAGTTTCATTGGAGGCAAGATGGCACTGGAGAGTGACGACTTTCATTTCAGTGGTGGCAGCGTGGCAAAGGAGAATTGTGCCTGGCCACCAGGCCCATGGCCCATGACAGAGCACTTAACAAGAAGGACTGTAAAGTTGGACACTTTTTCTTTGTTTCTTAATTTTTATGCCTTTTTGTTCCATGTTTTTGTTTATTTTCCTGTGTTTTAAGATGGTGCCAGAGAGTGGCGTCACTATACAATTTTTCTTGTAACAAGATACATGTGATAATAAGTAAAATGGACAAGTTCACAATTTTCCACATTATGCTTCATCTGCTAATGTTTTGCCTGCTCACTTAAACGTTTGCAGGCTCCTTAGATTCCCTTCACTTTCCTTTCTTTGTTTCATTGGCACATTTAGCATAGATTTGGTTTCTTCATCCAAGTTTTTATGTAGTTTGGAAATAATCGAGGCCACAGCACTATTCCCTGTGGCACACCGATCTTCACAGCCTGCAAACCCAAAAATAACCCATTCACGCCCACCTTCTACTTCTTATTAGCCAAAAAATCCATTGGTCATGTGAATATGTTACTCTGAACATCATGAGCGCTAATTTTGGCAAGTAACCTTTGGAGGGACACATTGTCAAATGCCTTGTGGAACTTGAAGTACATCCACTATTCCTCTTTATCTACATTGCTTGTGACTTCCTCAAATAATTCCAATAAATTAGTTAAACATCTTTTTTTTTACAAATCGTACTGACTTTGCCTGATTGTGTTAAGATTTCCTCAGTGCACTGCTTAATAATAGATTCTAGCATGTTCCCTTTGATAGATGAAGAGCATCTGGCCTGTATTTTCCTGCTTTCTGT